AGAAGGTTTCTAGCTCAAACACAGGAGATGATCACAGTGAAGCACCCTGTTTTATCTGAGCCAAAAACCAGAAAAGATTTGGAATATTAAAGTCTTGGACAATGAGATTAGAAGATATCAGAATGGACAACAGTGTTCTGCCTCTTAATCGCTATTCAGAGCAATGAACTCTTATTATGCAATTTCTTGCCTCTTCATTGAGGGCACATTTGCAGCTGGAGATGCTCCATGCACAGTTCTGTGGGGCCTCAAGGCATGGACCTCCTGAGGAGGATAAGCAGTGGTTTCCTACTCCCAAGAGTGCTGCCCGGATCTCCTGGCAGAAAGCACAACTGCCTCCAGCCCTGGGAATTTCATGCATTTGCTGTAATATGAAGAGTTAGAAAGTTTGGGGCTGGCGGAGTCAGAGATCAGTGTAAGGTCCACGGGATGGAGGTTTTCTTGCTGTTACAAGCAGTCATGCCCCGTCATGTCATGACACGTGACAAGTGGATTCACCATTTCTGCATCCAAGGGACCCAATTTATCCATTTTGGGGTAACGGGCATTGCCAGATATTGTCCCCTTTGTCTTATGAGTTACCTACCGAAACGCTACTTCATTGTGTTGTTTTGAAAGAAAATAAATTAAAAGGCAAGCAAATGAACAAAAATCCAATATTTTTTCCCTCTGAAAAAGTGTACTGCTTCTTTACCTTTTCTTTCCTTGCTGTTGACAGTGACCTCTCTGGAAAGAAGCCTTCGATCTCTGGGGACCTCAAATGATACTCAAGAGCTGCAGGATGGACTGTGAGTTTATTTTGAATTGCTGCAGATCTCTCTTTGTCCCAGCCTTTTCATTTTTTTCCTCACATCCTCACCCTTTCTTCTGTCCTTTTTTTATAGCTGGACACTTTTTTGTCAGGCTTACTTCATTTTGTTCCTTTCTGTCGGTGATTAATAATGGTAGGGCGTGTATTGATCATATAAAGCTTTGCTAGTGCTGGTTTCAGGTGGCAGAGAATGGTAGGAAGATAACAGAAAATGATGGCCCACAGTGAAAGAGGGTTTTCTGTCATTGTGTATGTGTTGTTACTTTTTGTTGGTTGTTTTTTTGTTGTTGGGAGGTTTTTATTTATTTTTAATGTGAAACCAGAGTAGGATGCTTGTGTAGCTTTTTCCTTCCCCCTCCCCCACTTTGCCAAAGACCGTGAATCCAAGAGAAAAAAAAAGAGAGAAGGAGCAAAAAGATATTTTATAGGCGGAAAAGTGTGTTGTGGTGTTGACACCTGCATCACAGCATCACGCAGCACAACACTGAGAAAATGAAACTTCAATTTCACTTGCAATAGATACAGTTCATTAAACTCTCTTTTCTAGATATGTGTATACACAAACACGCACAGTTAGTTTTCATTGTAAGCATGCTAATTAGAGAATTAAAATGGCTTTTCCAAATGTAGCACAATTTATTAAAGCTGCTTCCCTTAATGCAGCTTGCATGCAAAAATCAAGTAATTAGGATGTTGCTCTGATTT